GGTTCCACAGCCATCAACAGAATGCCAATCAGGAAAAACTTAAGGTTGCAAATCTTTGCAGTCTTTTCTGATAACTCGTACACGGGTATTCTTGATAGAATTCACAAAAATCTGTTGTACGTAATCGCCCTGCAAGACATCATAGACAGCCGAAAGTCCTTATTTGAAAATTATAATATTTAGGAGCTAAACGGTTCTATAAACAAGGTATGTGCTCCTATACATACATAATGTGGTGCTGAATGACATATTGTGATGGAATTGAAACCACTGGCATGCTCTGTAAGCAGAATTGAGAAACCTGTGGGTAGTAATATATACGTGTACTCAAACACGAGCTCTAAAAGTCTACATGTGATGTTACGTAAACATCTAGAACACGGGATCGACCCAGGCTATTGGTTAGTTATTAGTCGAAGGTAAGCCATGCGTTATAAAGCAGAACGTAAGGAGTAAATAACACTAACGACGCTCCTACAGAAATATAAAAGCTCCAGATAATTGACAATTCTGTCTACGGAGTGAGATCATATTAGGTCTCGCATCTAAATTGTCCGTTAGGCGTTTTGGGATTAGCGGGATCATTGTTATTATGTCATGATAACTGACAAAAACGGGAACACCCGTTTCAAATGCCAAGACCGCATTGATCCTGTAGGAGCCAAACACTACGCACCGTAATTTTACAGATTTTGGACTAATAGTACTACACCTCAGGCCTAAGTTTACTTTTGAGATTTCATAAACGTTTGCGCAACCATTCTCCCAAAAGGGGTGATCAAAGGTAGTCAAATGGCATGGGTTAATCTGACATTCTACAAATTTTCATGATAGCCTGTTTTTACCTGAAATAATTAGCGCCGCCACAGAGGGGATCGGTTAAATAAATAACAGACACCATTAAAAGCTATCTGAAAGAAGAAAGCGTTGGAGATAGTTGATATATCCTGACGTTTTTAGCGCACAAGAATTTTAAGAGGACGATTTTTTGATTTGGTTGAATGAAAGTAGAAAAATGAGATCTATTAGTCGGCAACAAAATGAGTTGAGTACAGTTTTAGCTGGCACAAATCAGGCAGATGACAACGGCACCACGAGGCAATCAGTGTTTCTGCCTATCTTGAACAACATATCTTGTTTCTACCCTCCTCCCTATTAGGACCCAGTACAGGAGAGCAGGAGAGCCTGCTCCATGCGTCAGTTGAAACACTTTTTTACAGCACAAACCCCTTAAGCCGAGCATTTACAATTTGGACGGGGAGAGGTACTTACCGTTCCAACAGGACAAGCACGCTGGGCAAAAGGTCCTCACAATGAGCACCAAACCTAGCCAGCGCCGTGGTGGCCGTGCACTTGACGGCTGCCGACTCCAGCAGAATGCGGTTATAGATGAAGCGAATGAACTGCCGAGGACGTTTTAGGAAGGGACCCTCGCGACCGAGGAGGTAGAGGATGCGTTGTGTCAGTCTCTCGTGTTCGCAGTCCTCGATAAATTCGCACAGTTGCAGCAGACCTGAGAGTTCGGAAAAAAAAGGAAGGCAAGCTTAAAAGCGGCAAAGCTTGAACAACAAGAGGAGTCAAACACAAAATGGCAACCGGGGTTGACCTCACCTAGTCGCATAACTGATCGTGATCGCTACGACTATACTCTGTGCGCAGTGATCGACTTCCCATAGGCAGTATTAAAACAACTAACCAAGACATGTTGCTCAGAAATAAAACGACAGAAATTCGTAGGACTTCAAATTCAGTCAGTTGGCCATTGAGTATTTAAGGCGAACGCCCAACTAATTGGGTTATGAGCCCAGGTACTGTTGGCTGCAGCTTTGGTGATCTACAATCTATGGCGTCACGGGTGAACAAACTCGCTAAATTGGTCGGTTTTTCGATAAGAGCTGAAAAGACCAAAGTGTTTTCGTGTTGTGTCACTGCCCAAGAGAAGGCACCTCTCAAGATTAGTGGCTGACAACTTGGAGAAGAGGGCAGTTTCAAATACCTCGGAGCGAGGTGGCTGCCGAATCGACATAGTAAGAATGGCACTGCCTCCCGAATCGATGCCGCTCGTCGAGTTTTATCAAACCTTAGGAAGTGCCTATGGATCCGACGCGATATTTCTATTGCCACAAAGGTTCACGCGTTCCGTGCATCTCTTCGGTTTGTCCTTCAATACGGCTGTGAACAGTGGGCTATGCGCGTGGAAAATGAAAGAAAACTGGAGGTATTTGAACACTACTGTTGGGGGACTATCCTTCCAGTGAATTCCACCGGTTTGGTCTCAAATGAGACAGTCCGCACTCACTGTGACGGCATCACAAGGATATCCTAGGCCATCCAAGAAAGACAACTGATGTGATTTGAAAACGTTCTTCGTTGTTAACCTCATGAGCTCAGTGGAACTGCTCTCGAGCTGACACCTTTATCCAATTGGAGACGAAAAGGAGTCAGCTCAGAACTTGGCTCGACTTAGTCCACCAGGACATGGAAGTAGTTATTTGACCTTCGGAATTCGCCCTCCGGCGTTGTCGAATAGAATGGACTGAAGTGTCTAGGTTTGCTGCCACGGTTCGTCACGCGTAGAGAAGTACCATCCGGAACATAATCGAGGCCGGCTAGATCAATCATGATCTCAGCCGTAACAAGTACAAAGTAAGTATACATGCAGTGCATTTGGATTGAGATGGTTGGGTCTAGCGTTACTCAAGCAATTAAAATGATTTCGAAATAAAGAAAGAGGGAGAGACTTTTCGTTTGCGACAAGAAAATGGCTAATGTCATTCAATTAGATGCACGAACAGACAGAAGGTTTTAATTTTTGTCCTGACATTGTTTTGAAAAGAAAGAAGGCCATGGAAAATTATCTGTGAAATACCCCGGCAACACATTTTTGGGGAATCTTTATTTGAGCAAGAGCATATCCACTGAGAGTCTTCATTTTGAACGTCCATTTTATTCGGCGATTCGTTTCAATGTCTACGGTCAACCGAAGGTTTTTCATTCCGGAACGAATGTTTTAGCAGGCAAATATGGACAAATGTTAAATAACAGGGAGGGCTTCGCGAATTCACGCAGGCTCAACGAGTCACGTGACCTACTGTGGGTGAGAGCTCTCTAATTCCTTAACGGAGCAGTTTAGCGAACTTAAACAGCAGCTAAGCGAGTGAAAGCGCTTGCAAAGTGTAACAAAAATATTATTTTAAATTAGCCATAAAGTTGTACAAATGAACTGCTTTTCTGTGTTCCTCCAAAAAGTAATAATCGTAAGACAAAGGAACATGAACCCCCTCCCCTTCGGTAATAAATGCAGCCTTGCGCAAAAGGCTAGGAGACCTATACAGTCCCGTGTCAATCATAATCCTGTCAGCAATGCTAAGCCAGGCTTTACAGTAGCCCTAAACTTAATCTTAGTCTTAACCTTAATATTAGGACTGAACGCAATCGCCCTGGAAAGTAGCGCAAGGTCCTCGGAATAGGGGAAGCTCCTATGCCCGGGTTTTGTCCTGAACACTTAAGTCCAAAGGGTTTTTCTATTGTGACCTTCTCCCAGTCCTGAATCCATTGAAATTCTGCCCAATGAGGTATCCTCTTTAAGGTACCTTGGTGTTACTCTGGCACCTAATCTCTCATTTACTCTTCATATTGAAGGCCTTTTTAGTAAAGTTCGTAAACTTTTATATTATATGCGCCGTTTGCGTTCATATCGCACACCGCAAACTCTAATCGGACGATTTAAAGATGTCTGAATTCTCTCCTCCGTTCTTGACTGCTCTCCAGTTACTTTTCCAGCTTTAGTTTAAAAAAAGACGTGGTCATTTTTAACCATATCCTCCGATAGCTCTCTCCAGCTGCCGGTGTTCCCTATGTTCTTTTTAGCTGACATTTGCCGGTATTTCCTACGATTTTTAGCTGACATTATAGTACAGCGACGCGTTAAAACGGTCAAGTAATTTGCTGATCGCATCCCTAGTGAGGTCGCTCACCCTCTCCACTGTAAACTAATGACTGCGAAGTCTTCTCGTACTATGCGCCGAAGCTTCCGTCATATGTCTTGCCGTACATCGGCGCATCAGCACTCTGTACTCTCATTCCTAGCACGCTACCTCGCGTGTGAAGAAACGGAAATTGAGGCGTTGAAAACCGACCTATGTCTATAACAGATGTGTATATCATGTAAACTATTAACTTTGAGTATTCTATGACCTTTTACCTTACCTTACCCGTTGCTCTCCGTGAATGGAACCATTTTTGGCTGAAAATTTTGGATATTATCTTTAAAAGAAAGCATTCTCTCTCTCCCTCTAACCTTAACCCTAGTCTTCACCTTAATCTTAGAAGTAAAAGCAATCTCTGTGGAAAGTAGCGCAAGGCCCTTAGGAATAGAGGAAGCTCCTATACCCGGGTTTTGCCCGGAATACTTAAGGCTAATCACTAATGAAGACTACTTAAAAATAGCATAATTTAAATGTATATCCTACCCAGATTCTTGGCATTTGGATTCTCTGTGATGATGGACTCCATGGCGCTAACAACGGCCTTCTTGAATTCGTAGCCGGCAGTGTCTCGCAGACGACCGGATAGGAAATTAAGCAGCACGCTATACTTTCGCGGGTATTTGGCCGCGAGCATACGAATGGACTCCAGCACCACAACTTTGAACTCGTCTGTGATGTCCGCCATGAAGGAACAGATGTGCTTCAGGAGATTGTCCACGCTGCTTTCACTGCCCGTCTACAAACACACAAGCGCGCGTAAAGTCAAACTACAGTAGACGATATATCTGATGAAATGTGAAGAGAAAAATTTGAGTGGGGGGATTTAACACACACTTGAGGTTGTTTATTTTGTTCATTGATTTGACTTGACTAGACGCGCAAAATGCCGTTTACTAGAAAAGAGTTCATTTCAGAGCAGTATATTGGGGGCAAATCCAACGTTTGTTGATATCCAAGGAATTTCTTATGCTATTAAATGCTGCGGAAAAGAACTTGTTTGTGCCTATTGCGATATAAAAGAATATCAATAAAAAACAGAATTTTTTATCATATCTATTCACAGAACAGAACATTTTGTTTGGCCTTCATGAAAGTGGGGTAAGTGCAGTTACGATATAACGCATCATTGTCGAAAAAAGGAGCGAATAAAATTTTTAAAAATGCTATTTTGCAAATCTGCTAAGTTTGTGCCATAAAATTAAGTAATACACTTATAAAGCTGTAATTAGTTTTATCCCACCGAAAATAATGAGCGTAACTAGCAATTCTCATGAAACCGTGTTAGAATACATACTCGAGCTTTGGGCTATTTGGTAACAGCCATACCTTACATTGCACGTAATATGGAAGCATATGTATCTGAAAATTTTACAAAACGATTACTTTCCAAAGTAATTCTATGTGCTGCTTTATTCACTGGGCTTTTTGCATGAATAGCCTTCCTCTACACTTAAAACTTGCGTTCACCTAGTAAGCCCGATTTTTGCTTTTTCTGAATTTTCCGTTTTGCTAAAAAACTGGTATTCCTAAACAACGTAATATTACTTGATAAATCGCAATGTGCCATATTTTGAAAAAAGACCATTAATTTATTGCTGCAAGACAGGGACCGTAGCTTGGACTGCGTTTGCGTAACAGGGAGTTTCTTGTAAAAATTATTGGATTTCACGAGTTAGCCCACCTACTGCAGTTATGTTCCTCATGAAGTTAAATAAAGGACAGGCGCAAGGCAAAGGAGTAGGATGAAGAGGGACAAAATACCTTCAGTAGCGTTGTAATGGCCAGTGTGGCGATACTTCTATTGCTATCAGAGATCATGGTTTCCAGATCGACATTACAAGTAGCAACAACGGCAGGATGGCGTGTCGCGATGGTGTTGAGTGTCTTGGCTGCCGCATAACGCAGGGAAGACTTGTGAGAACAACAGAAGAGCTGTAGCACGTTAACCGCAGGGGTCAGCTCCTTCGAGGTCAAGCCGCTGAGACTAATTATGGCCCTGGCCGCCTCGTAGATTACGATTTCCGATTTGTCTCGCATCATTGACTCCAGGAAGTCGAGTAGATTACGGTTGTCCCTGCGCACATGCAAAAAAGCCGTTTATGGTTCAATCGAAAATTCAGTAATAATACCAAGAATTTTAAAGAAAACTAAGGAAGTGAGACATGGTACGGGATCTAGAACTTAGATCCGATAAGCACGCGATTACTTCAGTATCAGGCGGTCATTTGGTAAAAGATTGGCGACCTATTTTGATGAGGAGTGGGCATGACGCCTGCACTGTATCTGACGTCGCTTATGTCGGTTCCAAAAGGTCGATCAAGACAGAAACTATGTTAGAGGCCGTAGTTTGCCACAGTAAATGCAATTGCTGCATTGTATCTTTCGGTAAGCTGTTTAAACAAATTTTCATTTCTCTGAAGCTCCATCAGAGCGTTTTAATGTCAAGAAAGTAACAGCCTTATAGTAAATGGTATTAGGTTCCGACAAGGTGCTGCGATGCGTATGAGTTTTGTTTAATAAGGTCACAATGAGAACATGTGAGACTCCTATGACGTGAGGCATGACTGGTGTCCTAAGATGATATTTAGTATTTCAAAATATCTGGTTGGCAGTGTTACCACTCCATTCACCAAAGTATTTTGTGGTAGTGTCTCCAGTAAGTGACTATAAAAACAGTCAATAAAATCACTGGCCAAATGAGCTATTTTTGCTCATTGACTTCGGTTTCTAATAAGTTGGCCTAAGACTGAACTCTGCTGTTTTATTATCGCGTTCGAGTTCCTTTACTGAGGAGCAAGGACGTCAATGGATTAACAGATGGCATGGCAGAACTTTACAAAAGGTGACTTTCATTGCATAGCTGATCACAAGGCCATCGTATCAAAAACCCAAATTCCCTCGAGTAAATCGGCTGTGAGAAAAATTGATCATTCGCGGTGCTGATGGCCCGCAGCATGAAACTAGGTGTGACAATGAGGATTTGTGCCACCATAAGTACAAGTAAGCAACAATTACTGCATTGAATACCATCAACAGAACTTACTGGACACCCTCCTCTTCGATTTGGCGAGCAACAATCCGGATCTAGATAGTATGAGTAGTAAAAATGGTGTGAAAAACGACAAACCATCAAGCAGTTGGCGTAACTGGACCGCCGAGGTGACTGTAACGATTTTTGAATGAGCTTTTGAACGGCAAGTCGGTCGTTTCGACGAATCTGATAAAGAAGTCCTAGGGCGTGATACTGGACCATGTTCCGATGCCCAGTGACAGCTTCTTGGATTTCATTGGACCACCGACGAATAACGTCAGGACATACTCGCATCAAATGGTAGGCGGAAGCCAGTACAGCAGACGCAATTGGTTGCGATTTGTCTACAACCGCTTGCTTTAGGTAGCGCTCAATAGCTTGTATCATGGAAGGCTGTAAATAAAGTAATGATCAGTTATTGTAGGCACAAGTGATAGATACAAACGCGATTCAACGAGCAAATAATACAATAAACCTAACAATTAACTGTACGTCCCTTTTGCGTTACAGACGTGGCAATCAAAAAGTTGATGCCTCTTTTAATGCAACCGATTAAATATGATCAAGTTTTAGTCTGGTTGTACATCTGTTGTATCAAACCGGTTCTTTGTAAATATTTCTTTAGATAGACTGAACAACAATATTTATCAATTTCATTTAAAAATAATAGAGGAAGTTACGAAAAAGGTTATGCTTCTAATGAGACATACGTCAGTTATTTTACACAAAGTTCGGATTGCCGGGGCCCGGAAAGCTGTCTCAGATCCTGTCATATCCTTGGTGAGACTGGCATAGAAGACGAAAGATAATCGGAAAACAAAAAAAGATGGTTACCTGCTCGTTAAAATAATAACATCATCCGCGAATGGTGATAGTTCTTTGATGACAAGATACAAGAGTTTTCTGAGACTTTGCTAAAAGAGCGACAAGTATAATCATGACATACGGCCACCACTTACATTAGGTGACTGGTAAAGTTTTGTAATGGCGAAAAAGGTGTTTGTCGCCTCCTGACGGTTCAGTTTCACGCCCTATATAAGAAAGAATTCCACTAGCAAAACATATCCACACATACCCGCGTAAAAAGGACCAAAATTTTCGTCAGAATTTGGATACATTTACGGGGGCTTGGTTGGTTTGCGTTGAACAGCCGAGCCTATTTGAAAGCAAAAGTTCAGTGAAGGAGAATAGACATACATCTTGAAGCACAGCCGCTTTATCCAGGTTCATATACATTGACCCAGCACCTGTGGACAAATAAAATATTAAAGGTGATATGTAGGTAGTAAATCGACAATAAACAAGATGTCTGAAAGGTTTTCTTGAGAGCCTGTAGTCGACGACCGAAGAACATGTACTTAAAATAATTACAAGCGACAGCATTTTGCAGAGCCATTTTCAAGCTAATCTAAGGCAACAACTGCCTTGAGGCTTACTTTTGGAGTCAATAAATTCTATAATGGATGTCAAATGGCAACAATCTGATCAGGCCAAATGCAGTAGATAAGACTTTCTTTGTATCAAATATCAAAAAAAATCTAAAATGAATTCGCAACATAGGTCCCTGATAGCATAACAACTGCAAGGTTTTGTAAATGCTGGGTTAGAAGCTATTCAGTACGCTGTGATTGGTTGTGAAGACAGTCCTGTTGTGGTAAAGCGTGCTGACTTATCGGACACAGCCACGACACAAGATATTTAGCAGCCTACACGACTTCACAAACCTCCATCTCCGACCGTGAGACGACTTTGCCTCCATCTCTAGAGCGGGCGGAGGCATTAGCCATGATATGGCGCGGCCAATGGATAGGTAAGGTTTGATAAAAAGATATGCGACGACCGTGAGAAAAAGACGCATCCGTTGGGAATCAAGCTGCGACGAGTGCAGTATCCGATACAATGCAGTTTAAAGCGGAATTGAGGCAGTTTAAACTATTCACTTTGGGACGAATATGGTGCGCAACTAACAATTTAACTATTTAGAAGGGCCGTTGGCAAGCGTAAGTATGCTTTAGATAAATTCTCATCGAGCCCGTACATTCATATTGGAACAGGGTGAAAGTTAAAAGTTGTTCGTCTTTTCATACAAGTTAGTCGTGGGAATAGAGGGGGGTGTCAATAAGAGGTTAGTTACGGATAAGGGCTTGGCGGAGCCAGCCTAGGGGAGGGGAGAGAGCGGAGCTTGCAGCAGGTTCTTTTGTGCAAACAACGCCGACTTCCTCGACCTGATAGCGGTCGCTTCTGCCGTTGCTAGCAGGCGTTAACCCACGGACTTCGGGTATTTTGGAAGGACCTTAAAAATCACCCGAAAAGTTTTGCTGGGGTTAACACGATGTCCAGAATCAACAAAATGGGCGAGAAGGGCGCTGTTTATGCTTCTGACTTAACTTTTTAACCGCCATGTCGGGAGGTACTCCCGTATTCTTTTGGACAAACGCCGACCCGTGGGACTGATGAGAACTTATCGAAAGCATACACACTCTCGTCAACTACCCTTCTGAATTCTCTGATAGGAATTTTTGAAACATAATTATTGTCAGGGGTTGTGTCATAGAAGAAATTAACTTTTAAAGGGGAAGCCGACGGCAACGCAAACTTGTTATTGCGATTTTTGAAATTTTGGACACAAATAAACTAGAATAATATAAGGAGAAACTACTCAAATCCGTGGTTGCGCAGATACGTAGCGTGCAATACCATATATAATAGAATTATACAGCCATGGAAAACGACAAAAATGGCTAATACAATAAATGATAAATTCGTGGAAATATCAGGAATTTATAAAGGGACTATACCTTCGTCCTCGTCATTTTTATCTTTGCGTAAAGACATCATTTTACAGCGAGTGACGTGTAAGCGACGATAAGTCCTAAAATCAACGGTGACAAACTATCATCCGCCTCATTCAAAGCAATGTTTTGGCCGCAGTACGACAAGTACGACATGCTAAAGTATTCGGGTGGCATTTTCAAAAAGACTTGCCCTTTGAAATAACCACAGGAAAGAACACGTCTCAGCTCAAATGTGGAGTATCACACTGAACCTAGCTCTTGAAGGAGAGTCAATTGATGAAGACATTAAACGAAACAAGAGAATTTGTTAATTAATGGCCTCTAAGACGAAGGTGATGTAAGATTCTATGTTTATTTTTTCTTTCCTTAATAAAAACAGTCTGGGGCAACGAGTTTTTATGGAGTAGAGTATGGATTGGCATAACACTCTACTACTTAGAACGGTGGATTGAGGCAGTCGATAGCGGAAATTCAGTGCACGTAGTCTATATCGACTTCAAAAAGGCTTTCGATAGCGTGCCACACCACCGCCTCCTTTATGAACTCAGCCTCATAGGAGTAAGAAGAAGGCTTCTTGCATGGATATAAAGCTTCCTAATCGGCTGCTCGCAAACTGTCCACATCAGCGACAAACCGTCAGCCAAAGTTGCGGCTGAGAGTGGTGTTCCCCAAGGCACCGTTCTCGGACAGAAAATCCTTAACCAGCGGCAGAGGTGGTGGTGTGGCTGTCTTTGTAAACCAGTAATGGTGCAAAAATTGTAAGTCCTTATTCTCTTATTCGGACGACTTAATAGA